AGTGATTTGCTTTGGGGAAGATGCTCCCCCTCCCCCCCCCGAGATATATGTAAGCCTGCTCCGGTCTGTCCGCAAAGTCAAAGTCCGTAAAAAGTGTACAGGTCTGTACAACGGCAGGACGAATGGAGCAAAACCACGAGGATGAGGGCGCAGTCCTAATAGATGAGGGTCCAGACAGCACAGGGACCGGGGGGGAGGAGGGACGTTAAACTTTGTGAGTGGGAGGTGAGACGGTCTGCGATTGTGCGACTAATTAACAGCGAGAGTCCCGCTATTTATCATTCCCTCTGAAAACTACGACGAGATAGCTGGAGAAGGAGTGCGTCAACCACAGCAGCGATAAACCAGACCAGAAAATGCTTTGACGAATTTTGGTATTCCAGGTGTGCGTGTGCATAAGTGAAGGGGAAGAAAGGCTTTTCGTTCGTCGGCCGGAATTGTGGCATTGTTCACCTGAGCTTTCGAGTCACGCCGGAGATTGATTTAAACCTAGGCCCCTGATTAGAACTCAGTCAATCGATTTATCGATCTGGCGCCGCCATCTGCGCCCCGCCCCCGCCATCTATGACTGTTGTTTATTTTGTTCTCCCTCTGACGATGGACTCCAGTATGAGTTCGAAAAATCTGATGAACAAAGTCATTATGTCGGGCGTTGCACTAATTAACCCCTAAAGCTAGGCCCGACTGACTACCAAATTTGAATCCCTGTTTCACCTATACATGTGGACGTTACTCCATCGTGATACTGGCCTGCTTAATACCCATGATGATCCAATAAGAGCTCTTCCCCATGAAAACGATTAATTTACGCTAAGAGAGAAAAAAGGTCGAGGGGGACTTTTGCGAATATCCTCTAGAAATGTACGTGCAAAAATACGAATGGCGACAAAATACGAACAATAACAGAACCAACAAAATGCATTCTTGCAACTCGAGAGATTACCTCAAAAGGGACGAAACACCAAACAATAAGACGTAGGAGTATCTTTAAAGTGAGGAAAGCCTAAATGCACCCCTCCCTCCCGGCCCGCAGAATAGGGGAACAGGAATCGCCCGTGGTATTGCAATAAATTCTCGTGAAATTAGGTTAAGCTTCGAGCTTTATGGTTCAGGTTAGGATTACGATTAATGTTTAGAGTACGGTTGCGTTCAAGTTTACCTTTAGGGTTCGTTTGAGGCCCCAGGCACAGTAATATTTACCTATCCTGGAATGCAGCGCAAGGGGGACGTTCCTACAACACCCATGCTTTGCCCGGGGTGGGAGTACAAGTCATTCCGATCGTCTCTAAAAACAGCCAACCGTATCTATTCTCTCTAAGCTTACAAACGTCGCCCTCATGAACTCACTGCTCGAAAGGAAGGAAGGAAGGATGACCAACTGTGACAGCAGAGGCCAATTCAGGTACCTTAAATAGGCATTGATACACATCGGAAATAATAACCGAGGTTTGAATGCCAGTCAAGCTTTCATTTCAGCTAAAAAGTACACCCCCTCCCCTTTAAGTCAACTCGCGGCAGACCTAGTACCAATCAAACGATATCATTGAATGTTGTTCAGCTGTCATTCCATATTAAAACGCACATTTCCAAGCTACGCGTTTCCATCTATGTTCTGATGTACCTGAATATTTAATATCCTTCCTACAAGCACATGCCTTGTACTATATCAACATAAGTAAATTCCATTATGGTGTCATGTGGAATTGTCATCCGTTGTTTCGCTAAGCCGTACGCCGTTAATAAGAAGAGTACTGAACGTATTTTCAAAGTTATCATTTACGTGTCGGTTGAAACATGGTACCGTATTTCTACGTCAAAAAACTAGGAAAATATAAAACCACTCACCCAACTGGACACTCTACTTAGCTGATACTGATATAAATTTTAATTTTTGCTGACTTTTATCTGATTCCCGTTATCTGCAAAAAAATATACTATGCAAAAGAGAATTACTTAAGTAGTATGCAGTTTTTATCTTTTATTTTAGAGGTATTCATAAATTCGAACATGAACAAAAGTGTTCTACCTTATACTCATTTGGTAGCAAAGTGCGTCTTCGTTAAATTTTACGCTTAAAGAAAGGATATCTCCCCCGGTTTTTGGGCAGTTTCATTCAAACCACCGCATGTCCATCAGTTTATAAAGGTTGCTTGCACGATTTTATGAGCTCTATGCGACGGTGTCCTCATAACACAGAAAAGCGTGTGATTGCATTTAAGCAGAATGCATTTTGCAAACCCTGGATGCAAACGTAACGGCGGCTAGGGTTCAGAATAATTCGCCAACCTAGACAGGGTCTTTTTAAAAAACCGAAAGGTACTTTAAAAATATAAAATTTGAATAAAACGTAATTCATCACCAACTGAGCACAGGAAAGACCACTTTGGAGGAGGTTTTCTGTCAAATATTCTGACATTGATAGGTGTGCTGAAAAATGCATGATACTTAAGTAGTATTTTTTGCGGGCAATCGGCAGGAAGCTCGCTCAAAGGCCGGCATTCTGACATGACACATAAGTGCCCTGCAATTAGGCTGCCCAATACTTACTACTAAAACGGCGCTTAAGTAATTTCTTTCCGAATCGGCAAAAAAACACATTTCCTTATTTCGGTTCAACTTCCTTGAGATAGCAACATGTACTGGCGAACTGCTCTGAGTTCGCAAGTCACATTTTAAACCGCCCAGCCTACCGCACACGTGGAATCCACCAATACGGATAGAGTATGCTGACTGCCTAAGCAGGATTTCCTAAGCAATCGCCCAGAATCCACCAGAATGACCATCAAGCTCAATTACTTATTAGGAGGGGTTTGGCAGATTTGAGTAATTCAGTTGACCCGATTGTCAAAGATTCGTGGTAATGTATCGGTTATGGTGGATTCCATACGAGTCTCCCAATTGTGGCGACCTTCTCTGAGCTCGCGAGTCACATTTTACGTCAGATAGGCAGCGTGTCATATTAGGGAGAGAAGATGAAGCAGGTAAAACCCCAAAATGCTCAGCTATGCAGAATACTATCCTGCATCATCAAAACCCCAGGAATTTGTGAGTAGGCAGACAGCTCACGTTAAAATCATCACCGTCTGATCGTAGAAAAAAAATAAACGACAAAAGCTATAAATTCGAAGAAAAAAAAGGAGAGAGAAAAATTACCGTGCTGCAATAGACTGTGCGTTTTTGTCGAAAGGCCAATGTAGGCACATGCTGGAGCACCCACGCATTTTAAACATCAAAAAAAATTGAAATGGTAAATTATTATGCACTTTTGGAAGAAATATATGTCAACAGAGCGCAGACTTCAACTGCAAGACATCCATTGAGCAGATACCTATTTGTAATTAAGGCCTCAGGCCTCCTTTGAAACGTTTTAAGCAAATAGCACACAGTGGAATGTCCCGAATTAGCGTATTCGCTGTACCGACAGGCTCACAGAAGAAGTGCCGAAAGAACCGAAGGCTAGCAATTGAAATGGCATGACGTAAACAGTATATCGATGCCTGGGCTTGAGCACGAAGCCGTACCTGTTCTATTTAGCATGCCTAATTTTCCGTGGACTAAACTGTCGTTTGGGCCAACGGGTCTCTTACAATTCCAATTTGGTCCCGGCTTGACGTGCTCTCGCTGGCTAGCTTTCCTTTAAAGTCACCCCAGATAAATCTCGCTGTGAACTTTCGAGCTTTCCGTAGTCAAGCTTGCTCGACCTGTTCAGAGAACCTGTCCAATTTCAGCGGAACCGTGAAACTGGTTGCCAAATGCGACGGTAACTGCAAATATTCTTGCTTTGCTTAAAAGGAAGGTGGACTTTGTTATTCTCCAGTAACATTTGCCCTTTAGGACATGATCAACATAGATGTTACTTTCCTCTAGTCAGAATCATCTTACCGACAAAGACAAGGGAGACTGGAACCCCAGAGTCATCACCCCTGGGGTTGGGTATGGCCGGCTGATGATGGCTAATAAGCCAGAAATGGCCATTCTAGCCATTTCATTGTCTTTTTCGGTATTGTATTTCTGCCTACATAACTGGGTGCCGTGCAGCTGCTAGCGGGGTTTGAGAGTCAACCCAACGACACAACGGGACGTGAGTACCTGTCTGTCATTATTTTCGTCTGATAGGTGAGCAGAATTATTGCACCGATGGCAGGGTCACCACTTACGTTTTCCTGCTGCGTATATGCATATAATTACTAGGTGCATATTAATCGAACAGTCAACTGGGTACGGTTTTGTAAAAAGTATTGAGCAGTGAGATGAAGCATGATTTTACTGGAAAGGCTGGGATTGCTGAATGGAGTCAAGTGTGTTAGAGCGGTAGCCGAAAGTTTGGTCCAGCCAGACCGGTGGGGTCCGTGCGAAAGCCGTGTCATTGTTTCCTACTTTGGTGGTCTAGACAACAAAATAAAGCACGACTGTAACCGTTAAATACACCTACGAAACTTTAGTCGCATTCTGTCAGAAAATCCAGCAGTCATCCGCTACGCGCCCCAAGATATTCCGGCTCTGTTCAAAAGTACTCCAAATTTTGTAAACAACCGAAATCAATCAATTCTCTGCGATACTGTTGGCTTAAAGAGAGAGGGGATGCGTGCATAGAACTCACATTGGGCTTGGACAGCGGACAGGTTCTGTGCGAAGGAGCGTGCCAGAAAGGGATTTAGAGTAAGCCAATTGCCGTCCACGAAATCGATGCCTCTGTTGAAACCGGCAGGACAGATGGCAGGACCGACCAGTGGGGAGAAGGCAGCACCCGCAGAGAACCCCGGTAGGGAGCCGCCATTCTCCTGGCCGCGAAGCATCTCGTTGGACGTGCTTTGATTGTGGATGG